CAAAGTTAACCGTTGAACTCAAGGCCCGGCTACCACCATTTCAATGACCATAACTACGAGAACGATACCACGTTACAAAATTTATTAGTATTTTTTGTAAGAATAAATCGACCTGATTTAATACGTAACTAAAGTAGCTTAGCTTAGGCTTTTGGACCGAAAGTACATCCGCCATCCCATTAAAATAAAGATAATAAGGGCAGTCACAACTAGATGGTGAATTAGCCACAGTATAAATGAATAAAGATAGTGTAACGATAACTTAACTGTGGTGTGACCGTGGGGCAGAAGACCGACTTAAGTGGCAGTATCGATAGCATTTGTAGCCATGGGTCTGACAGCCGAGTCCCGTTCTTTTAAACTTTGGCAACTTCTGCAAACATTGTTGTAGATGTGCGGAGAAAATCAATTACCATCAGGTCAACTCTCCGCATGTTTGCCTTCTACCATACTCTTACCTCGTTAAAATATTAACAATAAATATTAGATGTCATGATCATCATCAGCGGCAAGACGTTCACTGTTGAACATAGGCCTCCCCCTTAGAACGCCACAACGAACGATACTTTGCCGTTTGCATCAACCGGTTGCCCGCGACTCTTACGATGTCGTCGGTCCACCTAGAGGGAGACCATCCAACGCTACGTCTTCCGGGATAAAATGTGATAATAGGATATTAGATGTGATCACGTTGAATTCATTTACCATAGTCGATTACAACTACACGACAAATAAAGACCGTAAGTTAATTGGAATTCTTAATACAGTCCGTGGTTTAGGTATAAAGCAAAGCCGGCATATCTTACGATGCGGTGCGCGATTGATGTTTACCGATTGGATGCGCCGCCGGCGGTGTTTTAAGAGTACCAACTATTGTTTATGTGCATCTATTTACGGTCAAATAACTGCCTCGCCTCCTCCCGTTTCAAAGCCGTAGTATCGTTCCTAGTGCTTTTAACTGTTTTAATTCGCTTAAAATGAACTAGAACTATCATACAACTAGGACTATGTTAGAATCACTAATATTGTTCTAGTTAACCCGTGCGAAGTTTTCGTGATCAGTCACCGAATGATAATATAACAAACAACGTGTAAATAACGGCCGGTTTCTAAAACACTGATCATCGTAGAAGTTAACTAATCAGCTGTCAAATGGCATTTCAAATTTCATTTGAGTTCCCAAAAGGATGGTTAAACTTTTTGAATTGATCAGAATAATCTTCGTAATGATCAGAATCATCAATTCAAATAGTTTAAAATTTCTACGATGCCTTCACCTTCACTCACTCACCTGCATATCTTCGAAATATGTAATAACAAAATATATTTCGATATTATGAGTCCGCCAATCTACAGTGGGATCACGTGGTGGACTATGTCCTAATATCCTTTAGGAGGCCTTTGCTTGGCAAAGCTAGGGCTTTGAGACATATTGGCTGTTACTTTAGTTTACCTTTTCTAGTCTGTGATATTGCACGCAAGCGGGAAAATATTCGCTACAAAAATAAACTTACTTAATAAACTAATAATCTTAAAACTTATGTTACTGCGTACAACGGATGCAAGACTTCCCTAATTGATGTCACTAGTGTCAGTCTCAGTTCTAACTTCCGTTCGAAGTGCAAGGTCTTAGGTTTCTTTTTTACTTAGATGGAGCAGAGATTTAATCGGCCAGCTACATCCGATGACATAATATTTCTGTCATCCGCTATGTAAGACGATTGGCAGAAGGCCGTACGGGCTGAATCAATAAAAATCCAGTGAGGCATCGACGCCATATTTAAATATGATATTAAAAACTATGAATTCGCTCTTTATAAATATTTGTGGATATATTATGCAAAATAAACAAACGCCTGTAGTTCGAATAAACAGAACGGATCGGAAACTCGATTTCAACAAATTTTCGTCCGAAAATATACGGGTTATAAATTTGGGAACGGTGTTTCCGACTGTGATTAATCGCGGCCGCGGGGCATGTGCATTTGGTGCTCCATTTTGTGACATTATTTTAAATTAAGAAAAGTGATCAGCCGTGAGGCGTGTTAGTAAAAAAATGAAGTTGACGGTTCTATAAAATGTTTAAATTTACATTCTCATCTATTTACTGCTGTTCAAAAAGATTCTTTGCTTTTCCTTCGTAACCAGCCTCTTCATCGTACATTTCATTGCTTATTTATAACTCTGCGTTGTTGCCACGTTGTTAGTTATTCCTAAACCACATCTCACAATCACACGTTCTAAAAAATCACACGTCCTCATTACATTAGATGTGTTAGCCATTTGAACATCTGTACATTTGTTTCGAAATAAATAATGCCGAAAAATGTTTAACGGGAAACATTCGTCAAAAAATGTATGAATGAATCCCGCTTTGAATTGGCTGACATTGACATGAGACGTTCCCGAACGTTTGACGTGACGGCGTACGTTCACAAGAATGGCTCGGGAAAATTTGAGACTCGGGCGAGTTGTTTTCACGTTTGAAAATACAATAATCGCCTTCGTGAAGAAAATATTAACTAACTGGTGGAAAGTCAAAGGAGTGGGCACGAAGCCAACTAGCGCGACGCTATTTCAAAATGGCGGCGCGTCCGGTTGAGCTTTGTTGTCCACTTGGGCAAAATAAAGTAGGGATTATTATTGACAGCTTAAAGCTATTTTCGTGCGGTACAAACAAATATCATAAGTATTATAAAAAATAAAGGAATGGAAACTAAGCAATAGTAATTTTTTATTTTAAAAAACCACGTCATGAAACAGAAATTAAATACAAATTTATTGATCACAGAATGCATATTGACGAATAATAATCCTTGTTCATTCTGTAATAGAAGTTTTACATTATCTTGAATTATAAAATATAAATATATACGGTTGTATAAATTTGTACTTTATAATTTCATACATATACAGCGTGTCGTTACCATCGCGACGATAAATTAACACACGTCTAACGCTACTTGCCAATAATCATAAAAAATATTAACGTTAAAAAACCCATAGTTAAAAAAAATACTTTTCAAAGAAACAAGTAAAAAAGAAACAAAATTTGTAACATCCTATACAACTACAACTGACTGATTCATACATTCCGAGACTTTTTCATTCGTTGCCACAGCGTCGCATTACAAGCCTCTCCTTCTAACAGTACAGTTTTGTCTCTTTTAAATTCATTCAACCCATTCATATGCTTTGAGACCTTTACAAATGAACTTTACGTTACAGTTTTATACGTAAGGATGTTCTTAAATTTTTTGTTTTGGAAAATTTAATAACTCTGTAAATATTGACGTTTAAAGAATTGAAATGTTTAATACAATTTGAAAAAGCTATCCTCTATATGTGTGTTCTTTTATTGTCGCCATTGTAAAGACACGCTGTATATGTTACCTTACCTTGTCACATACAATGTGTAAAATTTCACAAGTAGGTATGATTTTTAACTTAGACTAAACATGCAGGCTTTAATAACATTAGTAGAATCATTAATAACTTGAAATTCTGTTACATTAAATTCTCCAAAAAATACGATAAAATAAATGTGAACGGAGGCTTATTTGAATGCTACAAAATATATGCGGAAAGTTTAAACGTTTAATTTATAGCAACATTTTGATTTTTACTTATAGGCAAATTAGTATCATTTGATATTTATTTATTTAACACTTTTTTGTACAACAAGCCTTTACAAACGGCGGAATCATCTGCCATTTATTGATTGATTGATTCGTCATTTGCTTATTACGTGATAACGTAAAATAAATATGATAATATAAAAAAAACAATACCAAACATAACAAAAATACGACTCTATGATCTAAAAAAAGAGACCGTACCACACGACGAATAATAATTAGTTACCTAATCTTTCCAGATCGAATGCAATTCGCAATTTAGGAATTTTTTCTAAACCAATTTATCATTGTTATTAGCGTGCCATCGGCTCTAAACCCTCACTATAACGTCGACGTCTTACGCCACTTTGCGAGCTGTCGCGGGAAACAATTTGGCGTGGCGCGCGTGACAAATTCCGTGTCGATTTTGTGTATTGGACGTTTCGGGCGTTTCGAATGGCGTAAGATTTGCCTCGAGAGGAACTCGATGATAGACGCACTCTGGCCGGACGCCAACTGGTCCATTTCTCGACGAATGGACGGCACTGACTAGGATCGTCCACTGACCGGCGCTTTGATGCGTCGGAATCGAGGTTGTCATATGTTCTATACGCTGGTACAAGTTGCTACTAATGCGCGCAGGAAACACGGTTTATGCTTGCGCCGCGAGTAATTAATGGCCTAATGCCTTTAGATTTGGTCCATTTGGAATTGGGGCTTCGCTACTAGTCCTGGAAGTCGTAACTCCGCACCAGAATCGCACTCGTTAAAACCGCTGCTGTTGAATCACGACCGTTGATGCTCCATAAACGCATGGCCCCGTTTCTATTGTTTCTTTGTGAAAATTCTATACTGATTCTCTTTTTTAGTTTTTTAATTAGACCTGATCAATACTCGACCGCAATTTAACGTATAGTTCAGTCGTAACCAACGTGTAACCAACAATCAAAATGATCGTATTTGATTCTTTTTTTATGTCAAAATATTTTTTTTAACTCTTTTCTATTGTGCCTTTTTCTGATTTTCAGGGAAAGGGTATATGTATAACAGATAATATGTTATTAAAATTTTGCAATTGTCACTTACTTTTTGCATTTATTGGGATGACGTTTAAAGTATTACTAAATAAAGTAGTTGCCATAATAAAAGGGTGTCAATAACAAAAAAATGCAATAGTTTTTTTTGAGTGTATTCTATATTTTGGTTCGTTCAGTTTTTGGGTAACACTAATACTTTTGTACGTTTCATCATCATCAATATCTACACATTTAAATTCTAGTTTTTCCACGGCACCATCAGTTACGCACTAAATATGGTTGTCACCAAATGCTCATGCTTTTTAAACAACACGCACGAATTCATGTTGACTTTGCATTTTTACAGTTCAACTTCGTGGGAAGGATCTTAGGGCCGAGAGGTATGACCGCGAAGCAGTTGGAGCAGGAAACGGGCTGCAAAATCATGGTCAGAGGAAAAGGCTCCATGAGAGATAAGAAAAAGGTAAACTGAGTCGATAACGCTCTTTGTTCCCGCCGCAGAGTTTCCCCGCTAGCAAAACAAATGCTTTGCTGTATCTTCAATAAATATGTATGGATATTTGACATGATATGGATAGACTTGGATTTTTTTAAACGTGATGACTTTACTTTTCACGCAGCTGTTACTGGAAACAATGTAAGATTTAAAGAATATTCTCATGTATGTACAGTTTATTTTTATTTTGAGTCGATTTATTCTGATTGTGTATTGTCCTAAATATTTTTTTAATCCATTCTTCATCATCCTACTGCCCTAATCCCACCTAGGCTGTTTTTTATGACCGGCCGCTTGCCTGACATCAACCCTCCTCGGGAACAAACACCCAGTTCCGGAACAGTTATCTGTAGGTCAGATAATGAAATACTTTTCCCATGTGGGAATCGAACCCAAGAGTCTCGGCATCCTAGCTAACAGCTAAGCAACTGCGCCGCCGAGCCTCGTACTCGGAGATATTAATTGCAATTAACTAGCAACAAATGTGATGTGTATTATTTGCAAAAACTTAGACTTTTTGCAATACTTGATGGAGGAACGAATTCACTTGGCTAAACGAAACAAATTTAACGGACGTTTTCGAGTTTTATTTTGACTCTAAATTCCCGTCGTTTACAAAACTACAGCGTTCATTGTCAGGACTGATTGTTCCTTGATCAGGAACGTTTTTAATTATAAAGAAACGCGATAAAGTCCATAGAATAGTTTCATTTAACTGTGTATCGTATTCGCATAATCATAAGGAATCTATTAGTTTACTGTTAAGGAGCTAAGAGGTCTCTTGGTGTCGCAGTGTGACTATACTAGCACAATTGATTTGCAGGAGGACGCCAACAGGGGCAAGCCCAACTGGGAGCACCTAGCTGATGACCTCCACGTGCTTCTCACAGTTGAAGACACGGAGAACAGGGCAAAGATCAAACTTGCCAGGGCCGTTGAGGAGGTCAAACGCCTCCTTGTTCCCGTAAGCATCATTTATTCTAAATTAATCGCGCTCTTTGGGTTGTTTATTGGAACTTATATATACTACTATACTCTTTATGTGACGCCATACCTATGGCAAGGGAGAAATGAAATGTTCTCGAGTATATCTCGTATTGGCCATCATTGCACCCCCCATTAGATGAAATGACGACCTGGTACAAATGGGCGGGCAGTCAATGGATGCAGGTGGCTCTGGGTCGTGTTTCGTGACAGTCTGTGAGGAAGGCCTATGTTCATTAGTGGACTTGAAAATGCTGAAATGGTGACGATTTTAAGGTGGTAAGCGAGCTGACAGTTCACCCGATGTGAACTTTTTTAAGGTGAACGATTTTAAGGTGGTAAGCGAGCTGACAGTTCACCCGATGTGAACTTTTTTAAGGTGAACGAATTTAAGGTGGTAAGCGAGCTGACAGTTCACCCGATGTGAACTTTTTTAAGGTGAACGATTTTAAGGTGGTAAGCGAGCTGACAGTTCACCCGATGTGAACTTATAGCCGCCGCCCATAGACTTCTGCAACAAAGTGCCGTTGCGTTGCTGCCTTTTAAAAAAAGGTGGGCCAGTGCAACACGCCAGACGAAACGCTGAAGAATAAAACTTCCACATCATGCCTTCTGTGGGGCCTTCCCCTAACGAGCCTACTACTATAGTGCAACATTTTTTTTATGTATTCGCACGGTATAAGCTCTCATTTTTTTAATTATTGTACATCGTCTTTATGTTCGGATCCCAAGTTAAATGCGAAGTTAAATGGACGCGAAAACTCGGCGGTTGTCGCATGTTAAATTCGAATGCTGTCATGCACATACACAAGCTGTGCAACGCATGTTGCATTTTATTTCGAAGCCCGCAAAGATCGTTTTCGATGATCCCCAGCAAGCGGACGGGGAGGACGAGCTGAAGAAGCGCCAGCTGATGGAACTGGCCATCATCAACGGCACCTACCGCGACTCCAGCGCGAAAGCCGTCGTGCCAGTCAACGGTCAGTGCCTCATAAGTATGGACGCCTTTATGTTTTGTAACTAATCCCCTACCATAAGTCCTAACACTTATCTACCACTGGGTATTGGGGAAAATGTTTTTAATATTTAAACATTGTATTTATACTACAATCTGTTGCAAAATAGAAATGCCCCGAATACTCGCTATTAGGCGTCACTCGACATTCTTTTTTTATTTTTTTAGAAATTTGACTACAGCGGCGACAATCTTTTCGTACTTTATCTACAAATTTTAATGTCACTCGACATTGTTTTGTTATTTATCGAATACCGAATAAATAGTGAGTTTAACTCGTTATTCGACGAATAGTTGTATAAAATAGACTTTTAATGACCAAAAAATGAAAGAAAAAGAAAGTAACAAAACTATAATTTTTCTTAAACGACAAAAATTTAGTATATGTATAGGTTGTTATTATTATTATATATTGTTATTATCAATATAAAAGTGAATAATTATTCATTCATGTTAAAGTTAATCTAACTGATTAACTTTAACATGAATTGTTAAATTAATATTCAATCTACAAAAAGACAGACTGTGGTGAAGAATAAGTAGTTTTTTAAATATTTCCTGAATAAACAATTCGCTGGTGTGATTAAGTATTGTTTAGCAAGCTTACTTTTGACAAAACAAAAATTTTAGATTATCGTGACAATTAATATATTAATAAATATTTTTCATTTTCATTTTCATTTTCAAATGATTAGTAAGTTCAAGACTACCCCACAAGCGTGATATTATTGTTTGATAAAAATTTTATTGTAATATAAATTCCCTTTTAGACGAATAATTATGGTGAGACCTTCGACTATTCGCTATAAATAATGGCGATTAATCGGTATTCTATAATCTATACCAACTATTCGCGGCATCTCTATTATATTACGAAATGTGTTGAAATATGAAACAGAAGTTTGTACTCTATTATATGTTTAAACAATGTAAATTATTAAAATGTTTTCCCACAATAGAAATGATTGTGTATTGTACGAATTTTTTAATAATATTGTGACTTAATCGTTCTTTAATGGTTTTCACTTAAGTTGTGATATAAACACCTTCATCAGGGAGTTTTAATTTTTATGAAAGGGTTTTTAACTAACAAAAAATTGGATTTGTAATTTACTTTTGATTTTATGGACAGTAGTTGATTGATTTTGTATTTCATTACTTCACTTGGATAATATCGTGTTTGACCGAAGTAGTAGTACTCAAGTATATAGTATATAGTAATAACAACATGCATTTACGACTATAATGCTGATTGCAAATGAGCTCCAAGAAAACTTGGAGGTAATAGAACGAAATAATGCGTAATTCTGTTTTTATAAAGGTTTTGATGATTTAACCATAGTACGATGACGAATGAGTGCATCTTATTTCATCAAAAGGGTGAGGATATTTTCAATTAGTGATTCATCATAACTACGAACATGGATGACTTATTGATTGCCGCCATGGTTACGGTAGTTAATTATTGACATCAATGACGTCACTGGCCCATGGTGCTTTTAGTCATGACTTCAGCGGAGACTTGATTTTTTTCTGTGCAAACTCTAGCCAATGCGTATTAGGGGTAAAATATATCGAAAAGGGTGAATTACAGAGGAAGAAAAAATGTTAATTCAAATTTAAATGTACCTATACGGTAAAAAAAGTAACAACCTATACATATCCCACTGCTGGGCAATGGCCTCCACTTTTACAGGGCCTAATCCACCGAGCGGCCCCACTGCGGATTTCCGGACTTTGTCTTCGAAATAATTTTTTTGTTATTATTTCTAAAATACGATGTTTTCCTTCGCCGTTGAGCGCGTGATAAAGACAGCACTTAAAATTAACAATTTAATTGCTGCCGTCACCGGGGATCGAACTCAGGTTGCTCGAGTATATTGAATTAAAGGCGAGCGCCCGGACACTGAGCTATCACGGCTATACGGTATATACACGATAATACTCAGCTGTAAATATGGAACACTGTTCCCGCGTTCCAGCTGTGAGGGAGGAACACTTTAGCGAGTGATGAGGGCCCTCATCCTAATCGACCGCTCAGTCTCCCCTTTTAGTCAACTTATATGATAGACCTTAACCTCATTCCATAAGCCCAGGACTATAGATGGGGTTGTTAATACCTTAAGAATATAAGTATTAAAATTATTATTAAAAGTTCGTAAATAAATAATTTTCTCTTATAATTTTATGCAAAATTACCTGCACAACAGTAAAAAAATATTTATTATAAACTATGTATTATGTTAAATGACCTTCTGCTTTTAGTTTTACTCTTCAAAAAACGCAAGGCATTTTCTTTGAAATGTTTCCGGAGAAGTTTTCATTCGTAATTAAAAAAAATCAGAAATGATCAAACTTTGAAAAGAAAGTGATTTGGTTTCGGGATAAGGTCATGAACTGCATGATCCTCACTCTAGATCCGCGTATGCGTACGCTTGAGATAGCTAAAACCGTGCCAACGTAGCACTGTCATATACTCACAAAATGAGGAACACTGAAAAATACTGGCAACGCATTTCGGTGTTGCAAATGTCTTAAAGGCAGTCATCACTCAACATCAGGTGAATCTCGCTTGCCATCTTCGTCCTTAAAAAATACGAAAGGCTAAAGGCTGTCATAACATAACATCAGGCGAAACGCCAGACGGCTTGCCATCTTCTAAAAAAAAAAAAACAAATACCAAATAATTGTAGTAGGGCCACGTAACAGTGTTCACTGTTGCACGAATAGGTAGGTTCGTCCGGGTAAGTACCACGACCTCACAGAAGACCGCCGTACAGTAAAAGTGTTGCACATCTGCGCTTCCTCTGGTGAGTGAGGTAGCCGGGGCTGACTTTATTTAAAGATGGCAACGCATTTGCAACCCTACGGGTGTTGCAAATGTTCATAGTTGGCGGTTATCACTTAACACCAGGCGAACCGCCAGCCCGTTTGCCACTCTGTCACATAAAAAAGAAATAAAACCAAACAACTGGCCGGCTGTCATCCATAAGAAGAAGAAAAAAAAAACGAGATCGCACTGACGCGTGCGCCGTCCGCAGCGGACGAGGAGTGGCGGCGCGTGGCGGCCGCCGCGGCCGAGACGCAGCGGCTGCTCGCGCCGGGCGGCGGCGTGGCCGGCGTCGGCGGCGTGGCGCTGCGCACGCAGGCCCCGCTCGGGGCGCCCCTGATCCTGTCGCCGCGCATGTCCGGCCCCGGGGCGCAGGCGGGCCTGCTGAACGGCACCGGCGCCAGCGCGGCCGGCCTGCTCTCGCCCGGCGAGCCCGCCCACCAGCTGATCTACGCGTCGCCGTACGCTGACTACGCGAACTACGCGGCGCTCACCGCCGCCGCCAACCCGCTGCTCACCGCCGAGTACGCGGCCGCCGACCACACCGGTGGGTTGTTCGCCCGTTGATCCCCTTTGGTAGCATCTCGCGCGGGTTGTTCGCTCGCAATGGGGTCTTTGAACCACCATTCGCGCGCCGCTCTGTTCGCTTTATTGGACTCTGCGGGTTCCTCGCTCGCGATAGGGTGTGGTTCGAAATTTGAATCATCATTCGCTCGCTGCTATAATCGCTTTATTGGACTCTATCACCAGACTCTGATCGACGCGGATTAGCGTTAACGATTCAACGAAAGTCTTAAGCGTGAAATTTAAATGTTATGTTCGAATTTAGCCGCATTTCCCCCGCATTGTTCCCATAGTAATGCGAATAAACAGTATGAGAAAATATTTAAACATTGTATTTTCGATATAAAGGAACCCGATACGGCTCTCGGTCAGTATTTAACATCGAACTCTATTGCGAAGATGCTATCAAATGTAAACTAATGGTAAATTCACACGGTATCGGGTTATACGCCAACAAGTCACTAAGTCAAGATCTAAACATAATATTATGTCTAACTTGTTGGTAAAATGCATGTGTTTCAAACTTCACACGCTAACTCAACGTTTAATATTGCATGCAAGTTTCGTGTTTCTTTTTCAGAGTCCTATGTTGTTCCGCTCTAAAAACAGCGCACTAAACTATGAAACAAAATGTAACGTCACCAAAAATATCCAGCGATAAACTGTTATTTGAGTAACATATTTAGATCGAAACATGTATAGTGGCTATTAACATCGCCGGGCTACACGGCGACTAACCGACTAAACAAAACAAAATGGCGTCGAGCTTGATTGAACTGTGTGAATAAAGTTATTTTAATGGAGGTTACAGCGTCGAGGTATCTACTCGCTGGCTTTTGACAATGGCCGCAAACGCATCAGACCACAATAAGATACGACCGCTACGACCATTCACCGTATCAGCTCCTCCAATTATACCGTCCTTAAGTTCTAATGCGTCTGCAAAACAATCTACGGACGCCGCCTCCAGTCAAACAAAAGCCATGATCGATATGCGTAGACTAAGAAATGTTATTTTAAGCAACCTAACCTAGTGACACGAATCTTTTGTACCTTCGATGTTGTTAATGTAAGATCCTGTTAGCACCTGAATCCGTTTTGTACAGTCAACACACAAAGTATATTTTTTTTGTTTACGAGCGAACAAAGATATTATTATGATTTATTATTTTAAAGATTATATCGATATTTATTGAAATTATTATTATATTTTCTGGTATTTATTGCATATTCTATTTTACGGTGGCCTCGTGTTAAGGACGATGGCACTTTGTTGTACTAGTTGATTATTTTAGTTTAATCTTTAAAGAAAAACTGCCAATAGAACTCTTTCAAGTTACCGATATTTCGTATACAAAGATGTAGATTTTTTATTTATCGTACTTGGTTTTTTTGTTTTTAAATTATAAAGAACCCATTAATATATAGTTCTTGTGATAACCCTTGCTTGTAACACAACTAATCAATTAACCTGTTTATGAGAATACAAACAGTTGTTTATGAACTTGAAAAGTTTATTTGGACTTTATAGTGATTTAATATCATCACTCTGCATGTCATTCTCGCCCTTTTAGACTTTCAAAGAAACTTTAATGTGATTAACAATTCAGTTTTTTTCTAAATATTAACAGTCTTTAAACGACGACAATTCTTGTTGGAAAAATAATACAGCGATTACAAGCAAAAGGGACCAAATATGAAAATTGATTTTTCAAAAACACACACGGATAATAATATTCTAACTTTTAACATAACTGACTTTTTAATATTGCTGTAATAAAAAACGAACAATTTCCAGAACATTCTATGGTGATTTGGAGTTTTACATGCTATAACTTAAATTTAACATTTTACGCAACCGCAAAAAACGAAATGTTATTTTATGTTATAACTCGTAATTTATTGATTTATTAGCCATATTGATATATTAGTTATATTACAATATTTATAAACATACCATAGGTTAAGTATTATTATCTTTGAAAGATTTTTAGTTAGATTAGAAATGAGTGAGCTTTATGAATTATATACAGCATTATTTTATTTTAGATATATTTATGACCGAAATGCTGTCGAGTCAGATAAAAGATGAAATTATTAAACCATCCATTACCTGTGAAACTATTCGGGATTGAAAATGTCCTACATGTAATTTTCATGTAATTTTTTTCTTTTCATATTTTTCCAAAGCAAATAATTAACGATAAGTAATTCATAGGTTAGGTATTGTAGTCGACATTAGAGGTACTGCCAAATAAAAAAAAATTAAAATGCGTTATTAAATTGACTTAGAAAATGTTTAAGAAAACATTTGGCAGTGATAACTATTATAATTAGTTAAGGATGAAATTACGAGATGTATTCTATTATTATAAATTAATGAGATTACATTTCTTTCCAGCATTTACGGATTAAGGTACCCAGGCAATTATTACAATACGTAATTATCGTAAACACAACTGTATACACAGTTAGAGGCAAAATTAAGTGTTTTGTATACGCGGTATATATAAAAATGTAAAAGAGAAAATAATTCCCGACATATTTGGCGCAGTTGGGAAGTTGATGTTCTGTTGAGAGACAGATGATAAATGTCCGTATGCCGCTAGGTGTGGTGCGGAGGGCGGGTCGGCTCGCGCAAGTGAGGGAGCACCCTTACCAGCGCACTGCCTTACCGGCGCCTTAATTCCCGCCAAAACGCTCTCGCGCCGCCATTTTGTTCACAAGGTAAAAAGCGCGCGCGCACGCATGCCTACGATGAATACGCTTGCATATCTCCCACACTTGTTCGCCGAATGTGAAACTTTCGTGTCTCTCATAATAGTTATTTGTATAATGCAATTTTCGTAGCGAAACTTTTGGACACGAAATTTGCGCATTCACGGCCTACAGTGTCACGCGACTGTGCTCTTTTTAGCCACGCAATTTAGTGTCATTTTAGCAAAAATATTCGTCGGTTATGCGTGAGTGCCTCTGCTTTACTGTCTCTTTGTGTCCTTTCTATTTATTTTTATCGTGTACTTATTAGTTATGTTTTATTAGTTAATATGATGTTAGAATGTATTATGCCCATCACTACTTCGTACCGGATCTGAAGTGACACTGCATAATTTCAAAACTGTGATTTTTATATTTCGTTTTTTATAGATTTTTAGACCTGTTACGTGTTGTGATGCAATACTCTGAATAACTTTGTTTCTTTTTGATCCTTAAAAAGTTTTAAATAATTTTATTTTTGCCCATAACATGCTATATAGTCAGTAGTTTGTTATCACAACATGTGTCTTCGAGCAATCACACCTCGAGCAATGTTTCGGGTACCATTTAGCAATATGATTGAGGGAGAGAAGGATTGCAATATTTAGCATAAATAAGACATTATCAGAATTTGAAAAGTAATCAACTTTTAGTGTTCCGTTCCGCCAAATAGAATCTACGCAGGTGCTAGCGTCGGGTTGTGAAATCCTTCTTTCCTCAGTAAACGTCCAGTATTCGTCAAAGGAGGAGGCATTTCCAGAAATGTGCCATCAGTCCAGTATTAAATAGAAAGCTCTTCCTTTGACTTGATGTTTTCATAATAATCACAACTTTTATTTTTCATAGTCAAAATAAGATTTTTATTTGTAAAGTCTAAGCTAGTTGTTTCTACTTTGCCTTAGTTAAAATTATTTTACGCTTTCTTATTAGAAAGTATATATTACATTAAGATTATAATTGCACTTGTGTCCTTGTGGATTTAAACAGGCGAACATGCCGTCTACGTATTATCACGCTTTTTTACACGAAATGAATTTAAGAATCAAAATGCTATTCGTAATTTATATTTTTTTTTTGATAATGGTTTATATAAGCGACTATGTTTGTGTACGATATTGTTTAAATTGTTGATTGTAAATATTAAATGCATTTTCAGAGGATATATATACATTACAATAAATTGTCTGAAATTAAAAAAAAAATACACCCATTTTGAGTTTTCATTTGTCAGCTGGCGTAGGTCGCGTTCAGTGTAAAGTTTACGACGCTATTGTCTATGAATCAGTAAAGTTGATGCCGTGCAGTCATTTGGACAGTTGTAGCCTCACACGACTAACACTGCAACTCCACAAGGCCAAGTTCCCGTTTGTTTAAAACAATAATTATAAAGTGCACCGTCATAACTGCTACCGTCACAACTCGCGGAGTATCTGTAACTATGTATTTATATTATATGAGTCACTAACATGCAAATATGTAATGACATTATTGATACGTAATCACAGACTTATTAACAACATTTAAGTGAATGCAACCATATACGATTGTCGAATACTCTTAGCGATGTTTTGAATAACTTACATACTTGCATTGGGGTGCTATGGTTATTACTTAAGTGATTAAATATATTACCTTTGCTTGTTTGTCCGGGCAATGTTTGACTCACGAACACGTGGCTTAGACGATACGATGTCTCAAGCATTGCCCTGTTGGGAACTATTGGGCATTTAATCCTATATCGTAGATTATCATTATCATACTAAATTACTTAACAATATTTTTTTTCAACCATTAACTGCCGTAAACTAATTGATTCGAATAGTGCCCCGCGTGCGTCAACCGCAAACCGTGCGGCCTTCTTCGGCACGAATGCCTGATAGCCTCCCTGGAGTTTATATTATCGATTTGTCTATTTTAAAATAGAATACGTAACGCTGGTCGCAACGGTCCGGTGCCCTTTTACCGCTTTTAGCTGCACGGTTAACGTTACCGGTTAACAGTTAACGGATAGCAGTCAACGGTTATCCGTTATTGGTTAACTGTTACCGTTTACGCGACTACGTCAGCTCGAAAGCGCTAGAACGGCCGGGCCGCGTTTTGGGGCTGGTGTTAGGCCGACGTCACGACCGATACTAACATTCTGTTTTTTTTTCTCTCTTCTCGTTAACCCGGCTAGGAGAGTGCTAACGGCGCTGAGGAACTAACAGGAGAAGCGGCCGCCCGCCCCGCGGAGACCCTAGCCGCCGCGTAACATTCTCATCGGAACATCGATCACCATGTAGCTATTGCTGTGGGCCTATCACGATAACATATACTATGTATTTTTTTTAATAGTCTAACTATTAACATTTATATGCCTGTTATGTTGTAACATAATGAACTTTATTAACATTATATTATTCTCTCTCTCTCTCTCTCCTTGTTTTGGCGAAATGGCACACGCCATCGACTATTTACTGTATTGTATTGTAATGTCGCTTGAAATTGTTGGTTGTTAGAAGTGTATAGGTTTACCCCGTTTGTCCCTAGACGGCGCTAAATCTGCTTAAGTATGTGATTAATGTAAGTTTTTTTTTTTTAATGAAATCCATATTATCGATAAATTTTAACGTTAGCATTTGAGTATGAGCTTATTCATTGTGGCATTTAGCGTCGTCCTTTAAGAGATTCCGTTATCATGGAAATTGCTTATTAGCAGACGAAATCAATACATGTATGAGATGTTTATTAAAATCGAGTTTGCCTTTCGAATTAATAACACATCTATGGATTATGAATATCAGTCACATGATATATGAAGTTTCGATAAATGGAAAACATCTGTTTGAAATATTTTTAAAAATCTTTCTATTTTCCTTTCAAATGTATACTATCATTTTCTTTTTTTTTTTTTTTTTCTAATTTTAAATTTATAAAAATAAAGCTTAGTTCATGTTATTAGTATAAATAAAAAGTACAAAATCCTTACATGCTTTCACAATTTTTACGAATGTGAATAAAGTTGGTATAGAGTTCTCCGGGCAACTGTTTAAGGAGTTGTATGGAACGTTATTAGAAGGAGTAACGATCAGTTGAAAGGATAGAGTAAGTATCTATCTGTTGATAATCGATACATTGCGTACTTTTCATATTGGACTGACATTCGACTTTTTTTAGTCTATATAAGTTTTACTCATGGACGTATTGACTTCTGTACGAACATTTTGGCGGTATAACTTCAGCAGAGCCAAAGATTACCTTCGGTATGTTTTTGCAATTTTTTCCCAATATAAAAAAAATTAAATTAAATACGTCTTCCCACTTTATGCGAAGAAGTTGATAAGTCCATGAAGGTTATATAAATAGCGTTACTTTATATTATCTAGTGCTTAATATTTATAAATAACGAATTCAATATATTGTGCATCCAAGTGCCTTAACCAATGTACAATGTTTTCATCAACATGGTTCTATATACAAATTGTTATATGCTTAAGTAAAGTTAGAAGAGATTAAATTATTGTTAACTTTGCTAAATGTTAATGTTTATTCATATATGATATTTTTAAATGAGCACATTGATTAATCTCCGTTCTCTTATAGTTTATGTATAGTTTCATTTGTAGTGGCTTCGTTGCAATCTCTCTAGGGAATCTCTTGTAGCGTTTATTTTTGTCTCAGATTGGGCGTGTAACAACATTATCGCCTCCAAATACTTGATTATAGTCTAACTGCACCAGCCGTTACGAACGTTTCTGGAGCATTCGACTTACCTAAATAATTATCTAATGTTGTACATAGCTTGTTTAGAATTCGAAAGCAATATATTCAGTAATTAGTAACATTAGTGCAATAGAAATGTTATATTGGTTGATATTTTATTAAACAAATCATGTCTCGAATTATTAAGCGCGTAGAGAACGATACATTTAATAGAGAGATCTGATATTGAGATTAAAACGTATATCACATTCGTTAGTTGAGAGTAAAATTATTTTATTAATTAGCTTAGTGAAAATATTATAGTTGTGAGTTTGACTTTCGTAACAGTGGGTTACTTTCTAAAATGAAATTCAGATTACTATTGTAAACTACTGATTTTCAAAGATATTTTTTAAACCGTGCATTCTAAAATAATCATAGACGCATTTGATTCTATGTCTTACTTTCACACATACCCATGTTTCTAGAAACATCCTCCGTCCACATTACTTCATAATATAAGTACTTAATTTGTTGGTCTCTTACTCGTTTTTAACCCATACTGATTTTTCCGAAACGATTTACAAATACTTTACGAAACTATAATTTTTTGGCAATTTTTACGTAAAAATCATTTTTCATTTACCTTAATTTGTAGACGAATTTTTTATGTCAAATTTATATATATTTTATAACGTTATATTGCTTTTTTAAATTATATATCATATAAAATTCTACAGCAAACGTGTCTTCCTTCACTTCTTCCTTTTTTAACTTTTTCCTGTTTATTTTTTTAAAAGATTGTCAATAGTTTTTACGATATCAAACGCATATAAATACGGACATATTTAGTTTCATTCAGATATTGACAAAAGATTCTGTATGATAGACCGTGATGACTAGAACGGATATTAAAATATTCTAAATCATTGTTGAATACTTATTATGTAATCTGTATAAATATTTGTTCTGTGTTAAACTTCATACGAAACAATCGTCATTTATTTTCTTAGCATTTAGGTTCCTTGAAATCGACAGCTTAGCTTTCACGGTACTTCACACAAATTATTATGTACAAAAAATGAAATAAAGCATTTACTTATAATAAATGCGATGCCATGGGACGTTCGACGTTTTGAAATCAACTAGCCGAACTGGAACCACAATGTATTGTGATTCCAATATATTTTGATAACGTACAAATCATGCAATTTGACAGTCTGCTATTTATTAGTAATAATATTGTTTCAACGCGACTAAAGTGCAATTCGTTACTTGAAACATTTTTGTGCCATCGAGTGGACGACGGAATGTCATTGTTTTTTATTTGTACTTATTGTATTCTACATTATGGCGTCTCACTGATCAAGTGCCTTAGAATGAACTCTGTAAATATTTATATTATTACGATTTTCATTAAAGTATTACGTATAGAGGAAAATGAATTCTTACAATGTTGTTTTTCAAGAAACAAAATATAGAGTATATCTACTTTTATCGGTTTTAGTTAAGAGAGATTGTGCATATTACTTATGTCTGTTTTGATGTGTGTTTTAAGATTGATTTGGCATTAGTAAATATATTATTTAGAAAATGTACACATTCGTTTTTTTTTTTCACAATCACAAAAGCACCTTGAATAATACGCACGTATATTACACAATGAGTATTTGCTTTGTAAATAACACTTCCTATAATGACAATTGTGTAATATCTTATTTTATAGTTGATTTGTGCTTATATATCTAAATATTCAATAAATAACAATTATCGAGATGGTAACCTCCTCAACCAAAATTAACAAACACAATTTTTCTTTTCCGAGTTTTATAGACAGATAATAGAGATAGATGAAGAGAAATACAGAGTGACAAGAAACAGTCGCAAAACTGTTCTAATAAGTATAACGTAATCTATTTTTGACGTCCAACCGGACCATTTTGCTCATTGCAGAATTGTCTGGATGAGAGATACTGTATAGAAACATCGCAGCTTCAATTTTTGTTTCAACTAAGCACCTAATCTCGATAAATTAGTTTACAGACCTGCCCGTTCACATTATGTTGACACGATTGACTTACTGTATAGTGAACCTATATCTTACGCCAGCGTGTTTGGATTTGATCGCCACTCTTGGAAAAATAATTGTGTTGATGAATAGTGTTTCTATTGTCTGGGTTATCTATAATATGTACCCAGAGATGAGAATATTTACTTTCCTTATTATATACGTTTATTCACGATATTGATTCGACGATTATATCTAATATCATCAATACGAAAAAAACTATCCTCGAGTAATAAAAGCAAATAAATCCCTGGCACGCAACAATTTTATTATATTCAATGAACCCTGATAATATTCAGTTATTGCAATAATCACAAATAAAATATTCGCACTGTTCGTCATAAACATTTATTTATAAACATTTCTTTTAAGCATTATTGAGACTGAAGAAAATGAATTTCATATTTTATCACAATACAGAAATTTCAGTACAGTAAGTGATACAGAAAACGTTTAAATTCAGTACTAATTTTATGACAAAGAATATATAGGTACAGTAAATTTTGTTGGGCTTGTGATTAAATGAAAACCGAGAACTGTTTTTAGTATTTCCCATCTTTATCGGTGTTATCATCTACTCCACGTCAGTGTATAATTAATTATTATGCCACCTCACGTCGCATTCTGCAATGTGTCTCGACATAAAGGCACAATGAATCAAGGCAGCTTTGGTGTACAAAATTTTCAAATACGTAGCATAGATGGCGCTATAAATATTCGTGTCCTTCATAGATAATGACATGAACCCTCAAGTCCTCAATATGGCCTGATAAGACACGATTGCCTATCTTCGTCACGGTTGTCGTATTGAAACCCACATTATATAAAGCTCAGCTCTAGTCTAAAGCTTCGTTGATAATAATTAGTGTCGTATCTTTAAGTAAAGTACGATCTTTTATTAAGGTGATTCAGATTGAATACGCTACTCACCACCTGTGACGGTGGAGAATTATTGTGTTCAATCTGTATGAAATGGATTTGAAATGAAAATATGAAGATGACGTAAATAGTCTCGACTTTTACTGGGCCTTTTCGTTACATACTTTTCGTCTGAGACTATTGTAACGCTGATAAGCCACTAAAACATAATATGTACGCCTCTACCTCAAATTAATTGTCTATACATCGTTTATATTTATCGGAGCTATAAATACTTGAACGAAAACATGATTTATTGGAAAAAAGGTATAAGTACATGATGACAATAAACGATTAGTACACGTCTGCGTTGGGCAGTCTACGTCTAACACTAAAAAAACGTAAAAAGAATATTTATCGTTGTAATATATATCGATATGAATATATATGGAGTTTTAATCGAAAATTGAATAATATAATTATGATGTTTTATTATTGGAAAAGAAGGAAAACTAGCAAGCCGCTCTATCTGTATGTTCATTGCTAGGCAAATGCCTACTCTGTACAGTGGGTACTAGGGCATAGTTCACCACGCCCCCCTGCGTATTAGCAGACTTTACTGATAGACACCTGATCACGTG